TGTGCTGGGGGCCTCCCCTTGCAGCATGAGCATGGGCAGGTCTCTGTGGTTATGCTGCTGGGAGAAGAGCTCCTCCACTCTCCACAGTTCCAAGTAGGGGTATTTGCTTTGACAGAAGCAGCAGTTTTCAACCTCAAAGGCACATCACCAGGCAGCTAGTGTTATTACTTTCTGTTACTCATGAGAAAACTTGTTCTACTTTAGATTTTGCCATGATACAGGGGGAGAATCCCTCTTCTATGCTCCATCAGGCAGCAGTCTCCGTTCTCCTTCTGCAACTTCTGCTGCTGGCAGCTGTTGACAGTACTCTCTGACCTGGTACATCATGTTATTGCCGTAACCCCACTTTACAGGAGAGACTTCGTTTGTCTGAGATGGAAGTGGTGTCATTGCGTTAGGGGTGCAAGCCTGTGCAAGCAAGCATTGCTTCACCTTCACCGATTCCATGGGTTTGCTGGTAGCTGCCTTGACAGTAATTTATTTTGTTGCTTATAAAAGACCAGGGGCCCAGAAGGAAGAAATACATTTCTCAGATATAAGAGTTATCTCGTTGCAACAAAGTTTAGTGCTACTCCCAGACATACCCAACCATTCTGCAGCAAGACACGGATACATGCAGATATAGAGTCTTTTGTAATCAAATTTCCACAGCTCCAGACCTGGATCTGTTAAGATTTAAAGGAGGAGGTGTTAAAGAATACAAAATAAAAGAAAGGTAACACAGACAAGAAGTCATTGTCAAAGGAATGATATTACTAGGAACTGGTGGGGAAGTCAAGCTAAAAAAGGCAAACAACAGGTCTAGGGACCTAAGGGGTTTATTCTTTATTTATGGGATGTCTTTGAAGGAAAGGACCCTGGACTGCCTCTCACTATTGCTAGTTCTAATTATAAAAGATGAATGCATGAAGAACAAAGAGGAATAAATAGAATTGCCAGGAAAAAGATCCAGAAGTGAACTTTAAAACACATCTCTCATCCCTTCAACAAGGTATAAAATGGTAAATGCTTTGACTACTCTAACAGCGTGCTTTGGTCTGGCATCTGAAGCTGAAGATGCCTGAAATGAGGGTAATATGCAAGAGAAGCCACCAGTTGTGTGCTATCCTGCTGTTAGGGGACATTTCTCCTGGGTGCTGCCATAAAGAATGTGGTTAATAGGTCTTGACTGCAGAGTTATAGCCCATGAATGTGCTCTCATTTGTACCTTTCCTTGATCAAGGTGCTACAGTGTACCAAGATGTTGATTCAGGACTTGTCTTTCATTGTTATGGATCTTGTTTAAAACTAACTATTTAAATACTAAAAGTCTGACTATCTCATGTTGCAGCTCAGATTAGGCAAGCCAAATGTGATTCTTTATGCTACAGTCCCCAGTGCAGACAAAAAGCATTCTCAGGTTGTGATCCTGCCACTCATGTAATTATTTTAGAGAAAGACAGCTCCACTACTTCAGCTTCAGTACTTCACAAGAGGAATGGAAACATTAGGAAAAGTTTTTTCTTTGATGTAGAATATGCCGCCAGTTTTTTGTTATTAAAATAGGAGCTAACTTTAAATAAATAAAATTTTGCCTGGAGCCTTCTGAAAACTAATGTTGTGTTTTGACAGTGTCATTTTTCTGATTCCTGAATGCATTATGTGAGTTAGCTCAGGACTTCAGCATGATTTTTCTTCTATGCTACATACAGTGAATTATTTTTTCAGTTCTGGATTTTAATTGATTTCTCTCTCACACACATGCAGAGTCACATCACTGTACAACTTTCTTACTTAACAGGCGCTCCCCAAAACTGGATTTTCCCCTTTTAAAGGACAAGTGGATCAACGCCCTGCAGAGAAGTTTGTACAAAGTGGAGGCAGCTACCACTATTTCTTATTGGGAAAAATGGATGAAAAGCAATCATCTTGGAAAATAAGCTAAGGAAATTAAGAAATGTCACTCAAAACCCCCGCAAGCCAGAATTTTGTTTAAAAAAACCCACACCATATTCAACATGCAAAATGTACGTAATGCTTTATTAATTGGGCTTGTAGGTTTCATATCCCCTGAATTCCTGCTTTTCTATAAAGGATATTGATGTAAAGATGATATAGGACTTTGAGAACAAGCAGACAGTCTTTAAATAACAGCTGAATTGAGACTCCTGTCTTTGATGACAATTTATGGCCCTCTTTTAAAAAAGGAAAGTCATTTAGGTGTATGCTCAACTAGAAAACTCAAGTAATGTGTGCTTAGTGAGAGAAAAAAGATTGCTAACAGCACAATGTATCTTACAGCATAAAGTGCACCCCTAAAACTGCAAATTGCTGAGCATTCTTAATGTGCTGTGAGCAATTGCATACACTGTATTTCAAACATTGAGTGCCCAGTCTAGTATGTACCTACATCAGAAGTGGCTAAACTTTTTGCTATGTGATTTCAAGAGAGAAAAAGAGGTGGCCAAAGGAATTACATTCCACTTAACAACTGTTGAAATTTCAAATTTATATTTATTTCCTATTTGAATAAAATAAAATACTTTAAAGGGGAGGGTTTTTTGGTCATGGTTGTATTTTTTTTTCCCAGAGAAAATGAACTGGGTTAAAGTGTTTATTTTCTTATTGAAAAGGTCAGATTTTCTGTTCAGATTCCTTTTTTTCCCTGGAATTACCAGAAAGCGTTGGACCATAGAAACCTTTATGTTGCAGAACTTTTTGCAATTTACATGTTTTAAAATGTTTGGTTGGAATGCCAAATTCTATTTTAAAAGATTATTTTTTTCTGTAGTACTTTGAGACATCTTATTTCAATTAAAAAAAAAGAATCTTCTTTCTGGAGTAAATACAGTTCAGAGATGTGAGCAGAGTCCTCAGAGACAAGAACTCTTGAATTCTGCTGTTGACAGTGAACTTTGCAATGGTTGCAAGTTATATATTTATGATCTCTTCCTGCCTGTAAAATGAGGACAACAGTAACGGGTATAGATTAGGTTGTTGAAAAGATTCTCTTGTAGGCAGTGTCAGGTCTACAGGTATCCTGAGGTACACATTCGAAAGGAGAACATGCCCAATGCTCTTTATGCCCATAGTTCATGAGGAAGATAATTTTGAGTCCTGAGTCCACTGTGAATTACAGAGACTTTTTTTAAAATACTACACTGCAAGAGTTCTTCACTTGCTTTCTGGTCCACATAGTAGACTTCAGGATGGTGTGGAGATGCTATTGCAGGTGCAGATTGGCCCAGGAGCACAGCCCAGGCTTGTCTCCTGTACAGCTGCAGGGTAACTGTCCAGATTCTGTCTGGATTCTTACATCTCTGCACTACAGAGCAGTATGTAGCACGGGCATACTTTGACTTTTGGCTACCCTTTCATGGTTTTCTCTGTATCCTCAAAACTAGAAAACAGTGATTTTAATATTATTGAGATTTTTAGAATATTACTTCTCCACAGAGGTTGGGGAGTTAAGAACTGCAAATAGAGCAGAAGGATTGAGAAAACTGCTTTTTCTCTTCTGTCATCAGACATCATATGCCTTTCGTCTTTGGAATTTTCCTTTGCTATCACTGTGTTTCTCTCTTCCCTCATTTCTTTCCCCTTCTTTAGGTTCGTATTCCTCCTTTTTTATTTTATTTTCTTCTTTCTCTCCCCGATACTGTCTTATAATGTCCAGAGTATGTTCGACGAAAGGAAAGCCCCATGTGAGCTCTTCTTTTGCATTCAAAACTAAGGACCTTAAAAATCCAAGTTAAGAAGAAGACCATAAGCATAAGTGAGAGGGCACACAGAAAAAAAAAAAAAAAAAGCTGAGAATTGCAGCTGCTCCCATTGGCATCAGGTATATCTAGAAATACAAACTGTAAAGTTTCATAGATCTGAGGCAAGGTGAACAAGCCTTACATTTTACTCAGGTGTTACTTGCATCTCAACAATGTGACTTAGTAGTGAAATACCATCTGTTGCCTTTACCAAGCCCCACATACATCTTTCAAAAGGGACTGGGAACATAATTTGTATCTTCACTGAGTAGAATTTGTGCTCCCAAGTCATGTAAGCACGTTCAACAAAATGTTTCTTGGGAAGGTAATGTTTTATGATCTGGTAGCTTGAACTAAGATTTCCAAAGTTTACCAGACCATACAAATAAAATGCAAAGTCAATCTAGTGCAAAAGGTGCTAGAGAAATCCTCGTTATTCCTTCTCTTCTTTACTCATGTGAGGTATGGTTTTAAAGGAACTGCACAAAGAATGCCACCCTGCTTATGCTGAATGTTGCAGCGTAAAGCCTCTCCAAAAAAATCTGAGCCTTTGCATGGCTGTTCAAAGAGGAACTGATTTTTCAATAGTCAAACACCAGAACAGCCTTCCTAGAGAGGTGGTGGTGGTTGCCCCAAGCGTGTGAGTGTCTAAGAGGAAACTGGACAACTTCCTTAATAACATGCTTTAACTTTTGGTCAGCCCTGAAGGAGCCAAGCAGTTGGACTGTCCTTGTAGGTCTCTTCCAGCTGAAGCAGCTGTTCCAGCCTGGTCTGGTCTGCCCGCTTTCAAGCACTGAGCAGCCAACTCAGGACCTGATTTTCATGTAAGATCTCGGGCTTTGGTAAGTATGTTACCGGTTATACGCTTTGCAACTTAAAAGCCGCTGGAAGCCTTTGTCACTGTTCCCGGGCAGAGGTGTCACTGACGCCGCAGCGAACACCAGGTGCTGGAGCTCCCCTCATTTTTTAAACTCACAATCTCCCCCGAAAAAGAAATGCGGTATAGCCGCGTGCGAGCACGCCGCAGAGCAAGCCTCGGCAAGACTGCGAAGGAGCAGAGAAAAGGGGATTTATTTCTTCTTCCCCCTCCGCATCCCTCCCTCGCCGCCCACCGCCCCCTCCCGCCCGGCCCCGGCCTCGGCGCCGCCGCCGCCATTTCGCGGGCAATGCTGCCCCCGCCCGCTCCCGCCGCGCTACAGCACGGGGCCGCCCGCGCGCCGCCGCAGGGCCGGGCAGCGCCCGCGGGGTCCGAGGACGGGGCGGGCACGGCGGGGACGGGGACGAGCGGGATCCGCCGTCCCTGACGGAGAGTGCCCGAAGGCTTGGAGTTGTGCTGTCACTGCTGTTGTGCGAAAACGGGGCACAGTAACTATGGTTAGTGATTAATCGTAACAAGTATGGTTCCCGATTGATGCATGAAGTGTCATGGACAGCAAACACACACCCACACGCACACCCCCCACCACACACATACCCCCCTTACCGTAGTTTGCTGCTTTGCAAACTGAGTTGTGGGTTTGTTTGTTTGGGGTTTTTTAAATTCTCTGTTCCTCTTTCGGTTTTGCAACTATAAATACAGGAATTACATTCACAGCAAATATAGAGAGATCGGAGTATAATGCATCAACTAGGAGGGAGAGGATGTGGTTGCACCATGAATGGTTGTCAAAAGGAGAGTTAAAATGTATGAAGAGAAGTCTGCTCTGCCTTAGACTTTGCAAACCCCTTCTGTCAGCTGCTTTCTCATGCTGCAGTTCTTCCATATGCTCCCTACACCCACCAACACACCCACCTACACACACTCACAATTTACCAACATACTTCATATCTTTGCTGAATTAAAATCCACACCATCACTTAAATAAAATAAAATAAACAGCTGTTTTCTTTCCACCAAAACCCAGCATTTTCTGAGTTGGCACTTGCGAAGCATTTGAAAACAGCAGGCTGCTAGAGATGCTTTTGTACTGACACATTGTGATGCTGCACAGGGGGCCAGGGCTGGACCTGGGCAGTCATCCATGCACTGAGAACCACACTACTTAGGAAGGGGACACTTCCCAGGGGGAAGGACTTAGAAGCTGTGCAAATGACAGTAGTTTGTCCTAGTGGTCACTGATATTCCAGAATAGGCATCGTTCGAGTCTCCAGGCCTGATAAATAGAGTATTTAAAGCAGCACTGAGAGGCAGAGTGCTGCAGAACCACATTGAAGGTATTTATTTCATGGCCTCCCTTCCAATGGGAGAAGTACAGCTCCAAGAAGTGCAGGCACCAGAGGCTGTGGCTAGCATTTACCCTACTTGTGTCATCTTCTCTGTTAGTTCCAAACTAAATTATCAGCTGAAATTTGAAAGTGCCCAGCACACAAACAAATAGGAAGAAGGCAAGGTCTAGAAAGAGTCATCAACAGGTTATCCTACTGAGGATCTTGTGTTGGCAAACACTCCTGCGCTTTGTTAGCCATGGACAAAGATCACCTCAGATGCATCTCAGATCAAAAAGGGTTGAAAGCAAGACAACTACCTCAAGTTGCCACCTCAGTAGGAGTATCCTTGTTGTACCACTCCGTTCTGCCAAAGCGTTACAACATGGCTCTCCTAACAGCTGTGGCAGGAACTGTTCTCTCAGGTCATGTTGGTCCCAGCTGCAGGAGCAAGGATGCTGCACTGTACAGGTGGAAAGCAGATAAAAGAACAGTATCTAACTGAAAGGCGCCTTGTCATCTAGTAGAATCCAAAGACCTAGATTTCATACCTGATTTATTCATAAAATCCGTTGTGAGACACCGATCCCAAGAGTGCATTCCTTAAATCAGCTATATCAATTTCACAGGATATTGAGTAGGTACATACCAAGCCAGCTGGCAGGAAAGACTGAAGGACTCAGATGCCTCACTCTCAGCTCAGGTGCCATTCAGAAGTCACAGTCATGAATACTCTCCTCAGATCAAACATGTAAGCCAGGTTGGACCTGCCACAAAACCCAACCCTGAGAAGAAACAGTGCTCTCCTCTCTTGTTGTGTGCAATACAATTCACTGGAATATGGGGTAACCATAACCAAATGCATTTAAAATGCATGTAAAATTTGCAGGAGAGTTTTGAATCAGTATTAGCTGTTGGCATACTGTAAGTATTGATCATAATTAAGTTTCTGGTTCATGATGTAAATTTTAATCAGTCCATCCAGTCTTGCATGCTTAGCGTTGCCGATGTTAGTGAGTACCGACTTCTACACCTATGGAGGTGGAGCAACAGTCAGTGATGCGGGAGGGGGCACAAAACAGAAAATATTTCACCTCCATCTCAGCATATGTGATGTATATACTCAGAATTGCTCTTTGATAAAAGCAGCTAAAGCACAGCCTACTATGGCTATAAGAAGAGTCTTTAGGCTCTCCTTCCCGCAAATGACTTTATTTTGTTCCCCTGCAGATGTGCTAAGGAACACCAGGGCTCAGGGAAAATCTGTGATGTTGTCCTAGGTATGTGAGCTAAAATTTCCTAAAAGTGACACGTGTTGACATATCTCTTTTGGCTCAAAGTCAGGCCATGGGTTTGGGTTAGTGCACTGTGAGAACTAGAATCCAAAGAAATATCCTGTTGTCCATCTTAACCATCAAAATCACTACTCATCTTTGTATCGTCACTTTCCAGTTCACAAAAGAAATTACGTTTCTCAGATAGGCTTGCCTAAATACTTTTTTCAGTTTATTTACAGAGTTACCATCCTGATTCTTCATGTCACTGATGTCAAGCAGCTCTCCTGGAAGCCTTTAAGGACAACAGAAAATAACTTATGACAATTAGACTAAATAGCAGAAATGAACTATTTTAATCCTTCACTCTAAGGACAAAAACACATGCTGCACTACAGCTGTGAACTCAGGAACTCAGGTGGGAAGAATAGCACTCCAGTAAAGCTTATCGATTGCTCTAGTGAGTACAAAGTGAGATAATGCAGGTCACACTGGTAGGAGCTTATCATGTTGTTGATCAACATTTGACAATGATTGCAGAGCATCAGAAAAGCTGTGTTCATAGAAAAACCCCAAACTTCCAACCACATGTACTATTGAAAGACTATTTACTTTTTTGTTTGGTTTTGGTTTTGAGGGTTTTTTAAATGCATTTCAACATTTGGGCTCCCTTTCAGGAATGGATTAATTATGCAAGGAACAAAAACCCCACATGAATTCCCTTTCTGTGCTTGTTCCCTCAGTCTTTGCTATTTCGGGTACAATCTCCTCAGTACAAAAAAACCCCAAAAAAACAAAAAACCAACAAAACACCAAAACCCACACTTGTTCATGTTTCTGAGCAGCTTTGTATCAAACTGTCAATGATATTCCTATTTCTTATGAAAGCGTCCTTTTTCTTGAAAGTTACTGTGCTGACATTGGGCTAACCTGTTTTAATACTGATCTAATAGTAAGAATTCATTCCCTGAAGTACATTAAAATTGCTATCCAAAGTCCAGTTCAGCAAGACACTTAACATATGCTTTCCTAATATGAGTGAGATGTTTAGATGTATGCTTATACACTTTGATCAAGTGGGGCCAAAGTGAATGCCAGTGAGCAGCATAGTTTGCACCAGCACAAAAAATAAAGGGTTGAAGACATCAGTAGTATTTTCTAAAAGACTATGCCTTGTGGTTTTTTTAGGATACTGGAAAGTATTAAACTGGTGGATGCTTAAAATATATACTTCTGGGGGTAGAAGTTGAGCACATGGTTTTAGAGAGATTCTGGCTCTCCAAAGCAATGGAGCATTCATCCTTTGTGTATGACATGAACAGAGGGGAATGCACTGGCTCCAAAGCTGCAGGAGAGCCGTGGTGAAACCTACTGGTTTACTGGTTATGGATAACTTGAAGAAGAGAATGTAACAGAGAGAAATAGAAAAATGAGGCTGTGGGAAGAAGAGGAGAAGCAGCCATGGTAACTAAATTAAAAAGGAGCAAAAAAAGAAAAATGGAAAATGCAGAAAACTACTGGTTTTTACCTTGTCAAAGCCTTTATTCTTTCTCACCATATAGGTGGGGGTAGGCAATGAGAGTTGTATATGAGAGAATGCACTACACTGTGAAATGAAAGCAGCCACATTTTAAAATCAGTATTTTCAGTCTTTCATTTTGTTCCCTTTTTTGAGGTACCAGTTATACTCACAATTACGTCCACCATAGCTACTGTACTGGGTCTGACTGGGATTAACTGGGAGTTACTTTCTTTATAGCTATCAATATAGTCAATTATAGCTGCTTTTTTGACTTTGTGACTAAAACAGTGTTGATAACACACCAGTGTTTTGGCTATTGCTAAACAGTGCTTTCTCTTTTTCCTACTCTGTGCCTCCAGGAAGTTGGCTGGGGGTAGACAGGAAGCTGGGAGGGAACCAGCAGGGCAGTTGACCTGAAGTGGCCAAAGGGATGGTCCATACTATATGGTACCATGCTCAGCAATAAGAACTGAGGTAGAAGGCAAAGAAGGGGAGATTGTCTTCCAAGGTGTCTCCTGATTTGACATCAGTCTGCTTGTGAGAGGTGGTGAATGATTGCCTGTGCATCACTGGACATCACATCTCTTTCCTTCACGTATTAAATTTGTTTTTACCTCAATCCATGAGTTTTCTCACTTTTGTTCTTTCTCTGCCATCCCCCTGGGGAGAGGGCGGAAATCAGCAAGCAGCCATGTAGGTGCTTGGCTGCTGGCCAGGGTCAACCCACCATAGCAACACTAACAGAATTTCATAAAGTCAGTCAAAATGTCTTGAAATTACTCAAATTGCACCTTAAGCAATGTATTCTGACAATCCAAAAAGCTACAATATCTTCAGATCCTTCATTTATCTTCTCAGTTTTGGTCCTATTATTCCTCTTACATAAATCAGGCTGTCATGGCAGGCAGGGGAACTTTTGCATTGTTTTGGCTACAGAAGGACCTGAGGAAAAGAAACCTGTTATAACAGGTCTTCTGGGATAGACATTAATCTGTACTATTTGCTGAAGAAGCCTTGGGACATGGTGCCCTAGGCCTCTTGAGACACAAGAAAAGTAGCTAGAGAAAACTAACATAGGAAGCAGCCTACTTGAAGACTGATGACAATAAGGGGTAAAAGAGAAAAGAAAAAGGAGAAAAACTATCAGCACTCCTTACCTGCATATTGGGAACCTGATTTTGGCAGCTCTGCATGCTCAGAGCTCTGCTGTGTTCTCTGTTAATATTTTAATGAGCCTGAGCAATTGACAGTCCCAGCTGAGTACTCTTCTTTGCTGCTGTTGCTAAGCAAAACAATGGTAAAAAATGCTCCTTTTTCATCTACTAAATCATAAAAACAATGAAATCATTTGTTTGATATGCGCAGAAATTCATTCTACCTCTGTGCCAGCTCAACCCATGCACCTCAGTTCATTCTTTCCTGTTTTTCCACACATACTTGTTCAATCTCTGTAACATATGGCATGACATCCTGATTTGATTGTCCTACACATCCTATATACCCTTCAGGCCACACAGAGTTCATTCAGTTTGTCCTATCCATCTGGGCTCCAGCACAACCCATGGTAATATAGATTGATACAAGTTTCTGTTCTTCTCCATATTGGCTGACTGTCTTGCCTTTCCAGCTCATGTAGTTTTAGAGTTCAGCAATGATGTAAGAGATGCTGGAAGATTTTTGCATTCTTTCTCTCTTTCCTTCTCTGTGACTTCCTGTTTTCCTAGAAAACTTCAATTTTCCTTTCTTTTCAAATAAAGAAACATTCCAGACTCATTTTTCTTTTATATTTATTTATCAAATAGCTTTTTGCATTTCTAATTCTCCCTTTCCTTTTCCCTCCTCTCTTACATTTTCTTTGGCCATCTTGTCTGCATTTTGCTTAGCTATCTGAGTTTTCACTCATGGATAGTTAATAGAAGTTCTAGTCTCACATACATTTTGATAAGATCTGATATCCACCCCTGTTCTTCAATGGCTTGTCTGCTCATAACCTGCCTTGTGATAGAGAGAACATTTTATCTAATGTGATATTAAACAATTTTGTCTGTAATGTGAGTAAGGAAATTCTGATTTAAAATGCTAGTGAATGGTAACTAACTACAGGATCCCACTTTGCATATTAAGAAAATATTCTTGATTCCACTCTTCAATCTTCTCATTACATGTGCTTGTTTACTGCAAGCTGCACTTAGAAGCTATTGGAAGGAAGTCCCCCTAACATCAAAAATTAAACTATCCTTTCCTGATCAATGGTAATCTCTGATCCTGATCCCTGACTTGTAAGGCACAGTCAACAAGCATTTGGGGGGGCCACAGATAACAGTTCCAGTTTGAATATAGACAGAGCAAAATAAGCAAATTATTATTAGCCCTCTACAGGCCATTGCTAATAGATTTGCACAAAAAGACGGGAAATTTCTACCCCTTGGTGATACTGCCTGACATAAGTGCTTTCATGGCTGACAAAGATGCTGAAAAAAGAACAGTATGTAGGAGAAAATGTTTGCAGTCATACTGAGTGTTTAGCTTTGATGGATCTTCCTTTGACTATGCAGTTCAGCATTACAATTGTGCTACTCACGGGTTGTTAATGTAACGAGGTTACTACAAAAACACCACAATCAAAACAAACAAACCCTAACATAGCATAATTTTCCAGGTTCCAGTATAGCAGTACTTCCTGTTCCTGCATGGAAGAGAACTGCTTCCATGTTCTCTCATTGTCAATGAGCACTTTGTCAATGAGCTCATTGTCAATGAGCACTTTGAAGACAGGCTACTGTCTCAAAAGTGTTTTCTATGTTCACCACACTTATCTTTTTGTCTGTCTGCTGGGCACAAATCTTGAGCAAGTTACAATGCTCTACCTCATTTTCTTCAGCCTTTTGCTCTCATCTCTGGAATCTATACCTTTCAAGTGCAGTTAACCGATTACACAAGGAAAAAGAATTTAATAAATCACATAGGCACTTTGCTACGTAATGGCACATTCCTTTGCTATGTAAATGGTCTGTAACTTTTTCATGAATCAGGCCCATATACTCTTTATTTCGCATTTCCATCCACCTTTCCCAGTAGAATTACAATTAAATGATCCTGAAACTTTTGAACACAATTAAAGGTTAGCTTTGCATATCAGTGACCTACCAGCAATTTCCCTGTAAAGCTCTGATATATGTAGAGGGTTTGATCTACAGCTGCCTGATTTCAGGAAACTGGAAGTGTTTCCATTGTGCTCTGAACCCTAGGTAGGATTGAAAAATAGGCTCAGAAGATACCACAAAATAACTACTACTTACTCAAAGCTTCACACAGTTCTAGGACACCATTGTGTGGATTGCCATGACTTTTGACTTCCTTCAGGTTTGAACAATCATTAAGTGTTTTTGGAGTGCCTTGTTAGCAAGATATAATGGATGCTCAGAAAATACTTCAGACTGGTTATGTGTTGTTTTTTCTGACATCAAGCTTTAACAGTATTTTTTTAGAAATCATAAAAGCTTTATTCTCAGAAGAAGGAATAGAGACATAACTGTGGCTGTCTTGCACAGAGCAAAGGGATGTTGAGGGAGGGATTTAAATTAGTTTACGATAGCATGCAGCCCTCCCCCAACTCAAAACCTGTGATTTCTATATTGCAGCAGCCCCACCAGGCATGATCTGCATGGGTTCTTAGAGGAAGTGACAGCTGCCTGACAGCTTGGAGTGACTCGATCAAAGGTGGAGTAAAATGTACCAAGCAGTAGGAACTCAGCACATAAGTAGATTTTGAGTGAATTGTGAAACATTTGAACAAGATTCTTTTCCTTTCTCTTCAGCCCTTTCCAACTTCCTCCCTCTGGAAAGGCACTTTAATATGTAGAATATAAATTAACAGGTCTCCACAAGAGTTGATACACATTTGAGAAAATATTGTTGCATGGCATGACTGGACAATTTAGACATTTGAGACAAAGGATGAAAATTACTATAATATTGGATGATGGAATAGCTCCAAAGTCTTTCAGCTTTGTCTGAAACAGACACAGCTTAACTACTATTGTCTTACATAGTGACTAAATATAAAATTATAAAATATTTATAAATAATGAGTGTCAAATTGATCACATTGCAGAGTTTTACTGGAACATGTAATTCCTGTTATTAATCTGGCATTTATAAATTTTTTACTACTGATCACTTAAGACATAACTGGTCTATCTGGCCTCCAATCGGGAGGTCTGGAGACACACCATCTATAACGCTGCTGCTTCCTTTGAGAACGCACACAGGATCACTCTCGAGGAGAAGAGACAACACAGAAAGAACCGTGTCTTGCAGAATATACCACCTACGGAGTCTTTCTGCTGTGCCTTTTGCAATCGGACATGTCTATCTCGCATTGGCCTTATTAGCCACCAGTGTGCTTGTAACAAACATGGATAGAGCCTTTCCCAAATCTTCGTCTGCGAAGCCCAGCCATGATGATGATTAAAAAAAAATAAAAATGAGGAGATGGAAACAGCTTTGTGATTTATTCAAAATCTCTGAGACTGTTTCTGCCAGTGTGTGTGCTGATAAATGTTAACAGTTTCTCTGTTTGTTTAACATTCTCCTGAGGAGGATTTGATGTGATTCAAGCGGTCTCATATATTTAAAGTACAGCATTAATATCTAGTCTGCAGTGAGAAAGACAGGAAGGGTCACAGGTGGCACAGAATAGTCTCACAGTGGATAGTCTTTTTCTTCCTTTGTACAAGTCTATTTACATCACAAAATAATACTGATTTTGAAAATCTTGATTTAGGAAAATATAACATGAAAATTACATTCTGCATTGCAAGACTAATGACATTGTAAGGCTTTGTTTAATAACAGTCTAATATCGGTTTTCCTCTTTTTTCTGCATAGGTTTCCATGTAGTTTTCTATATGTCAGCTTTTTCTTAAAGGAAAAAGAAAATTTTTACAACAGATTAATACTTCCTCATCCTCAATACACACACAAAGGCATCCATTCACACTCACATCCTTGCAAGCTATTTTCTAGATGCGAAGAATCAGGCCTCAATTACGATTTCATTTGTATCCCTTTTTTTTGCAAAGAGCATTTGGAATTGCTAGAGTAATTCAGAGTCTTAGATTGTTGCCTTATTGTCACGAATACTTGTTATACCTTGTCTGCATTTGATGGGCATCTGATTAAAATGAAGAAAGCTGAATCCATATGACACAGAATCTCATTTTTCCCACTGTAGACAGACTGAAAGTAAACCCCATTATTAGAGAGAGCCCACTAGGTCAAGTAAGCTCAGTAAGGTTATGCAAAGGTGGTTGTTTTTTTAAATCAAACATTATAGAAGAAACATTATCATTGAGCATCAACTATGGGAAACCCAAGCTGTTAGAACTTTAATAAATACTTGGTGAGAAGAGCTAATGGAGACCGCTATGTGTCCAAGTTTTGATTCACCTGCAATTGCCAAAAACCCACACATCAGGCTTCAAGGGGAGTGCTCTCTAAAGGAAGACTTAGAAAGCAGATTATTTAAAAGCTGTCAGCTTTCTTTTGGAAGATAGTTTTAGTTTTGCATGAGCTGGCTCTGGGGTTGCAGATGTTACAGAAACTGTAACATATTCC